TCTATCTATCTATCTATCTATCTATCTATCTCTCTCGTGTGTACGCGCGCGTCCCCTTGTGCAACCTCCTCCCGATATCGCGACGTCCTCATCCTCCCTCACGACCCCCTCCCGCTCACACGAAATCCTCCCCCTAGCACGACCTCCTCCTTTCCCTGCCGCATGACCTCCTGCAACCTCTCGTCCCCAGCGTGTGACCTGCTCCTACCCCTCCCACGGCCCAGTCCTCCCCCTTGCACGGCGTCCTCCTCCCCCTCGTGCGACCTTCTCACCTCTCTTCTGACCTCATCCAGCTCCTCCTCCTCCTTACGCCACCTCCTCCTCCCGCTCATGTGTCCTCGTCTGGCCTCCTCAAACCACTCGCGTGACCTCCTCCAACCTCCCTTCCGACCTCCGCTGCAACCTCTCGTCCTCCTCGTGTGACCTGCTCCTCCCCCTCTTCCAACCTCCTCTCCCTTGTGCCACCTCCTCTTCGCCCTTGTGCACCCTCCACGCACAGTTCGCCCACGCGCACGCGTCTTTAGGTTCGCCCTGCTTCCCCACCACGCACACTGCCCGCACGCGCACGCGTCGTTGCCGGTCGATGTCGCACGATGCCCCGCCGGCAGTCGCGCCATAGCTCAAACACGGCACTCCCAACGCTCGCCCACGGCACTCCCACAGTCTGCACCCGGCTACCACCCCGCCGCCGCGCCAGACCCCACGCACTGCACTGCGCATACAGCCACCGTAGATCGCCGCAAAAGAGCGCTCGGATAACGTCGTCTGTCCCGCCCGCGCCGTACACCACGGCCCAAAGACAAAAACCCCGCAGGGCCACACCGCACTCTCGCACTGATCGATACGCCCACAGGCCCACATGCGGCCACCACGAAACACCACCAACCCCAGTCCCACCCGCAGTCCCTCCGCAAAAAGCCGCCGCTGATTTCTTCCCTTGCCCCAGTCCCACCCGCAGCCGCACCGAATTTCGCTGGGCCCAGCAGGAAGCATCACGCTGGGCCCCCTGCAATCTTTAAGAGTACAGAGAATAGAGATAGAGATAGAGATAGAGATAGAGAAGAGATAGGGAAGGGATATTGAACCATTTCTCGATTTATGTTTGTTGTCCATGTGCAGGGGCCATGCTGATCTTCTCTGTATCGTTCCAGTTTTAACGGATGTCCCGAAGGACATGAGGGCCTGAATCTTAGATTTGTCCCGTTAGCGATTTAACAGTATAGAGTGCTATAGACTCTCTAGGGAAACAGTGGAAAAGAAGGAAGTTTGAGATACATGACGGATCAAAAATACATTAGAAGAACGAACGGCAGGACAGACATCCAGGCCACGTGGTTGAATGGTGTACACATGTAACTGTTGTTGGACAGATCAGGGGATCGAATTCTCTCGGATTCAGATGAATTATCCCTTTCAGAAAGGCCAATCATGGCCTGGGGATATAGTCATGAAATTTGCCAGCGCAGGTGAATTCAATCTTCCTGTAGCTCAGTTTGTAAGGCACACAATCGGCATTCAGGAGGTCGGGAGTTCAAGTCCCGCTCGGCTGGTCCCATCTGCCTGCCTAGGCGCACTGGGTATCCACCATGGCTACGATCCGGACGTCCGGATCGCCGTCCGGACGTCCGGATCGCCGTCCAGACGGTCTGGATTCAGTCCGGACTCCAGACGTCGGATCTGCCAAATTTCGAGGGAAAAAAAAAAAAAACGGTCCAGGACCCTTCCCCATTGAGGAGCGAAGCCCTCAAAATTGTTTTGGGGGTTTTTCAGTCCCATTTATCCTTTTTTGAGGGGTCCGGACATGCTCCCTCTATAGAATAATTTATTAGACAACCCCAATTCTTTAATTATTAATAATTCATTACCTTTTATTAGTTTTTGAAGGTTTCTTTCATGGTAACCGCGGACCCGGACACCAGACACTTCCGGACAGTCTTCCGGACCAGTGTCTGGACCGGTCCGGACAGTCCGGACCGGTCCCTGGGGTGCAAACAATGTCCGGACAAAAAGGAAAAAAAAAAAGAAAAAAAAAAAAGAAACACCGGGGGTGGGGAAGGGGTTGCGTGGGGGTGTTGGCAGGCACTTACCTGCTTTGCACTCTGTACTTCACACAGCAGAGCACGTCTTGCAGCAAATCAACCACCACATTTAACTAGCAGACATGCAGAGTTGCAAACAGTGCAAATCAGGCACAAGACTAAAGAAACAGAGAAACTTTTTTTGAAAAAAGTATGATTAACTTTGGATTTAGTAACTTAAGTTCATAAGTTCATAAGTTCATATATAACTTTGGATTTAGTAACTTAAGTTCATAAGTTCATATATAACTTAAAAGTTCGAACTTCACAGTTCAATTCAGAACGTCAGAGTCTTAAGTTCAT